TGTCCCACTAGCGCAAAGTTCCCATTTCCTCAGAACAAGAGGCTTGTTCTGAACGTGCCAGGGACCATTTTCAAGGATCCAGCCCCTCAAATCAGAATTTAAGAATGAGAAACATAAAGGTTAGGGTCAACCAAACTAACGTTCACATGCGACGATTTCCCCCAAATCGATTCGATGATTCGTTGCATTGAACCAAAGCTTGGAGCTAAACCAATAAATTTTCCCACTAGCGCAAAGTTCCATTCGGCTAATCCTTCCTCAATCACCTCAGATGGAGGTTTGACAGTTGCAACTCCATCCTGGAACTCAGGGAGAATTCAAGAGCTTGCTCATTCGAGCCCACAAATAATTTCCTCCAGTCTAGGCCCGATGACGTCGAATCCATGAAATAAAAAAAAAACAAACCAAGAAGACGATGGTAAGCCAATTCGAAGCAACAATCAGAAGCAAAGAAGAGATACTAAGGACCCATTAGTCCAGCTAACTTGCGCCCAGAGAGCCTTCATTCTTCGCGTGTATAATTATTTTTTAAAGTACGTTGTTTCTCTTCTTCTTCTTCTTCACTTGAGCATTGAAACAACATTGAATTGGTGGAGAAGTAAGGAGGTAATCTTCTTCTTCTTTTTGGGCATCTCAGAGTGAATGGTTTCGAGATAAATTTTATAAAAACATTATTTATAAAAATTTCTAAAGGATTAATAAAAACGTTAAATTATATAAAAGATTTTTTCCTTTTAAAATGGTAAATTCAAGGCTTTAAACTACTAAGTTATCAAATCAAGTTATATCATATTTAAAGTATCTTATTTTTATCTTTTTTTAAGTTTAAAACTTTTCTGAAATATATATTAGGATAAAATACATCATTCTTCACTAAACTTTATTTTCTCTACTATTTTACTTACAATGCTTTCAATTTTTTTAATTTATTCATTGAACTTTTGAATTACTTATATTTTGGTCATTCTGAATTATTTTTTTATTATTTTCGTATGATGTGTGATTTTTATTATTATTTAATAAAAAAAATTCAATGGCCGATGGTGGTCGATGGCGGGCGATGATTATTTTAAGTCTTTTTAAATTTAATAATAATTATTATTATTATTATTTATTTTAAATTATTCTTACATTTAATAATAATAAAAATGCCACATCATACAAAAATAATAATAAAATAATCTAGAGTGATAAAAAAAGGATCACAAAGTTTAATGAGTTAATTAAAAAATTGAAAGTATGTTAAGTAGAATAGAAGAAAGAGTAAAATTAAGTGAGGAATGATATAATTTACCCCATTTATTACTTTAGTTTGAAGTTTTAGTCACGTTGTCAAGAAGTTTCAATTCGAATCAATTTGATTTTTTTTTTATTTTTTTGTTGCCCTCTTAATTTTCAAAATTTTGTGTCGACTAATCCGGATAGACTCATGTCGCACATCTAACTTTAGTGGGTAAGTCTCCCAACGGGGATCTTATGCGAAACCGAGACTTGCTTAAGCGATATCAAGTTGCTTATCACTTAAATCAACCCTAGTTTATTCAATTAAAAAAATTAAATTATATTAAAAGAATAAAATGAAAATTATTGAATTGACTAACTTAATTTTTAATCGATTTATTTAAATGTTCACCTTAATTTTTAATATTTTACTTTTTAAATAAAAAATAATACATTTTATCATGTGAATAATTCTCCCAGCCAATTAAATTCCCTAAAAATGATACCAAACACACAAAGATAAAGCTGAAGAACTTTTTGAATTACCAAATTTAAATCTGGTTATGTACAAATACCATGCATGCGTACGTGATTACGTAACATAGTTAACTTATAAACTAATAACACCCTTTGCATCAGTGAATATATAATACAAACATTAAACAACACAGCAATATAAACTACAAAGGGGTAATTATGTGACACCATTCTTGCCATGTTAGAAAGCTAGAGATAGCTTGAAGAAATGAAGAACATAAACGTTTTTTCTCATTCTACTAAGCATATCGATTACATTGCCTTTATAGCAGTTTTACAAGAACCTTAGTTGAGCTACAACCACCTTAACTGCCTACTAATAACCTTAACATCCCTAACCAACCTTAACTGTTTAACAACCTAGAGTAGTTACTCTAATATTCTCTCTACTTTCTCCTCCTTCTTCAACAAGGCAGGACACACATCTCTGTTCGAAAGACTTAAAATGTAGCCTTAGTTAGTGGTTTAGTAAGGTCATCTGCCACCTGATAATTGGCTGGAACATAACTAACACGCAGTGTTTTTGCTGCAACCTTTTTCCCTAATAAAATGGACATTCGTGTCAACGTGCTTCGAATGTGCATGATAAACTGGGTTCATACTCATTGCGATGGCGCTGGTGTTATCGCACTAGATAATTGGTTCCTCACACTGCTTTACACCTAGACTGAGTAGGAGTGCATTGATCCAGGTGACTTCTGCGGCTGTGTCTGCTACACTACAGTACTCCGCTTCCATGGTGGACCTGGAAACGGTCTTTTGCTTCTTCGAGCTCCAAACCACGGGGCATTTTCTGAGGAACACAGCATGGCCGGATGTTGACATTCGATCATCAGCATCACCTCTCCAATCTGCATCAGCAAACGCAACAACCTTCAGTCCTGCTTCACCAGCAAGAAACGTGAGGCCATAATCCAGGGTGCCAGCCAGGTAACGGAGTATGCACCTCACTGTTGCCATATGGGACTCACATGGCGCATGCATGTGTTGCGCAACCTTGTTCACACTGTATGCAATATCAGGGCGAGTGACACAAATAAGAAGTGCACCAACTAAGCTTCTATACTCACGAGCATCTGAGAGTAAGGGCCCTGCTTCATGCAGCAGTTTTACTGTCCCAACCATTGGCGTAGCTGTAGAATTGGCATGTAACATGTTCGCCTTTTCTAGGAGCTCAAGAATGTACTTCTTCTGCGAGAGAACCAACTTACCACTGCTACGTTTGATCTCAACCCCAAGAAAGAAACTTAGTTCACCTAAGTCCTTGAGCGAGAAATCTCTTTTCAAAGACTGTACTACTCCCTCTATATCATCCTTACATTGCCCAGTAATTATTATGTCGTCCACATAGGCCAGGACAAAAACATAATCATCATGTACTCATCTCACAAAGAGTGACACATCGGCTAAAGACTCCACAAACCCCATTCACTCAAGACAGACCTTCAGCTTGTCATGCCAATTTCTGGGTGCCTGGCAAAGCCCATATAACGCTTTGTACAGCTTACACACAAGTGGTGATACATCCGCAGCAAACTCTTCAAACCCAGGAGGATGTTGCATGTACACTTCCTCAGATAAGTCACCATTCAGGAATGCGTTATTTACATTAACTTGGCGTAGAGGGCAGTTCTTACTAACAACAAGAGAAAACACCACATTCAATGTGACAAGTTTCACAACCGGGCTGAACGTATCCTTGAAATCATACCCAGGAACCTATGAGTACCCTTTGGCAACGAATCGTACTTTATACTGTTGCACAGACCCGTCTGGGTTTTTATTTATTTAAAAAGCCATTTGCAGCCTACAACGTCACGACCGTTGGGCAGGGGAAAAAGAGACCAAGACTTGTTGTCGTGTAGCGCCCCAAGTTCAGCATCAATAGCAAACTTCTAATTAGGTGATTGCAACGCAATTCGAACATTAGTGGGTATTGTGTCATTAAAAAAGCTGGTGTACACATTTGACTTAAAAACACCGCATTTGCTACGTGTAAGCATAGAGTGTTTATTTCCAGTGACCTCATCATGAATATGATGTTCTTGAGCTTGCACTGAAATACTGATCTCAGCACTATTAGAGTCATTATGACCTGTACTCAACGGATGAGCTGGATTAGCAAAGTGGGAAGCAACACCTCTACTACTATCTGTCGATGTGGGAGATGTACTACTGTCATTTGATGTAGACGACGCATCACGTGCTGTACTCAGCACACCTTCAGGTGTTGTATCCAAGTCAACTTCAACTGAGGCACCTCTTCCAGCACTGGACTCGTGTTCTATATTTAATGAAGTGGAAGCACCACCTATATTAAATTTTCCTATATCAGTGACCACCTTCAGCGACTGAGGTTGTGGACCAGTTTTGTGAACTGAGTGCTCTGTACGAGTATTCCCTGCAAAAGGAAAATGCAACTCGTTAAATACTACATGTCTCGATACATATATATGACCATCAGGTGGGAGGCACTGAAATCCCTTATGATGAGGACTGTATCCAAGAAAAATGCACGACTGTGATTGAAACTATAGCTTGTGTTTAAGGAAGGGTTGCAAGTGTGGGAAGCATTGGTAGCCAAATACCTTCAACGACTCGTACTCAGGTTTCTTGCCAAATAGCTTCTCAAAGGGCGACACTCCTTGCAATATCTTAGTTGGTAACATGTTAATCAAGTGTATGGTAGTAACTACTGCATAGGACCAAAATCGAATGGGCATAAACGCTTGAGCAAGAAGTACAAGAGCAAGCTCGATGATGTGTCGATGCTTGCGCTCCACCACACCATTTTATTCGAACGTGTATGGACACGTGACACGATGCACAAAGCATTCCTTGAGCAAACATGTTGACAAACTCATGTATTCTCCTCCCCAGTCACTCTGGACAGCTTTAATAGGCATATTGAACTGATTTCTAACTAGTTGTTGAAACAACCCAAATGCAGTGATCACCTCAGCCTTATCCTTCAAGAGGTAAAGCCAAGAGTGCCGAGTACACGGGTCAATGAAAGTAAAATAGTACTTAAAACCATTCGATAGAACCGGTGTAGACCCCCATAAGTCCATGAAGACAAGTTGAAACAGAGTGTCATACACAGTGTTTGAATCATAAAACGGTAATTTGTGGCTTTTCCCCATGTAATAAGCAACGCAGGTTTTATTTATTGAACTAGAAACATTTACATTAAGCTGTTTACATATTCTAGTTAAGTTATCATGTGATGGATGCCCCAATCTTCAATGCCACAACTCATAGAGGTCGCGGGATGCAGGTAAGGGACTTGCTTCAGCTACTAGAGCAGTAACTTGAGGATCTACAGTAAAAGAATACAAACCATTTTCTTCTTTCCCACGAAGCAACACTATGCCAGTGTCTTCATCACGAACGCAACATTCATGAGCATGGAACTCAAAGAAGGTATTATTGTCCCTAGCAAGCTTTGAGACAGATAGAAGATTATTTGTTATTTTTGGTACATGTAACAAATCACTTAATAACAAAGCTCGAGAGGAAGAGCACAAGGTAGTGTTGCCAACAGCCTTAACGTCTAAAGCCACTCCATTACCAACTACCAGCTTACATGGCCTGTTATAGTCATCTTTATGACTGAAAACTCCTTCATCGGGTGTGACATTATATATGGCACCCGAATCTACCACCCACCGTTCATGAGCTGCTGTGGAGACAAGAGCTTGAGGACGCGAATCAACCTGAGACCCACTATTTTGAGCATTACAACACTCACACTCAGTCACTTTAGTTTCACACACAGAATAATATGCATTTCCAGTCTGATCCTTGGAGTATGCTTTACTGCTAGATGTAACCCCAGGAAAGTCTTGATCAAAGCGGTGCCAGCAGTTGTCTACAAGATGGCCATTCTTCCCGTAGAGTTGACACTACATGTGTCGACCACATCCTCAGCCTCGTCCACCAGATCAACCACTAAAATTAGCTGGCGGCCGAGAAGACTTATGATCATAGGAGTAATTAGAGGTAGAAGATCTGCTCACACCAGTTCTTTGAGCAACATTTGCACTAATTGGCAGTACCTCAGGCTGATCACCAAACCTAGCTAGCTGCGTTTATGCATCCATCAGCATGGTATACACTGCATCAAGTGTCAACGACTCACGTGTGGTTGTTACAACCACAACAAACGGTTGGTACTCACGAGGGAGTCCCTTTAGTATGCTTGCATCCTGCTCGGCTTGAGACACCACGCTGCCACACGACTCTAAGGCATCACACACTTTTTTACATGTGTGAGGTAAACTCTCATGGAGTCATCACCCTTCTTGAGAGATTGCAGCTTGTAGTGCAGGCTGATAACTGCAGTCGTGGACATGTTTCCAAAGAACTGGAGCACCGTGCTCCACACCACTAAGGCAGTTTCTGCACCCACGAATTGAGGTAGGAGCTGAGAGCTAATTGTGGAGAGCAGTCATGACACGAGGGCGCTGTCTTGAGCAATATAATCTTCATATAGCTCGTTCGGTACAACTTCACCATCATCACATACCACAGTTTCAGGCGGCGACCTCATTGTTCCCATCAAGAACCGTTCAAGGCGATGGTTGCGCACCGTCTGAAACACTTGTTGTTTTCAAAGAAGAAAATTTGTTTCATCAAGAACGATGTTTACCTTTTTATTCGAGAATGCTTTGGCATTTGTTGGAGCAAACTCCATGAAAGGAGAAGAGCCACCAATACTCAGCATGGAGAGTAAGAACACAGTCTTTGTAGAGATGACTATTTACACAGGGACAACGAAGCATATTTTCCCAGGAAATTTAGTGACTGATACCATAAGGAGAAAAGGAGAATTATACTTGCATTTATGATTGTGAAAAACTGTGTTGAGATACAATGCTTCTGTTGTTTATATACATCTTCTAAGAACTAACATAAGCCTAACAGATTGCCTAACAGATTGCACAACTGATGTTAACAACCTAAACTGCCACTAACAACTTTAAGAGGTTGCTAACTAACACACCATGTAAACTAAGTACACGCACACAATAGTATGAGCAGCATGTGCATTGTTGCTGACTCATCATGCTAACATTCCCTCTACTTATTCTTCTTCTTCTTCTTCTCTTCTCACTTTGAACACACTATTACAGCAAGCTCTAAAAACTAATTACAACTAACTTCTAACATTCAACCTTCTTGATGAAAAGATGAACACTTGAATCGAAAGTGCGGATGCTTCATTCCGTTCACTTGAATCGAAAGTGTCGATGCTTCCTTTTGTTCTTCTTGAATCGAAAGTGTCGATGCTTCCTTTCACTCTTCTTATTCACCTTTATTTCTTTCTTCTTCATTACTCTTTCAATTATACAAGACCAGAAAAAAATACTACGCTACACCATTTACCCATCAGGAAAATTCCATTGCTCTGCCTATTACCGAATACATCATTAAGCATTCATGGCTTCTTCCAAAAGAAAATATCCATAAGCAAAAAGAAAATCATTTTGTTTAACCAGAGCCGTCCACCAAACTTAGCCCTCTAAAACGAGCCCTAAAATCCAGAGATTTAAACACCAGTGGAGCCAAATCCCCCAGCCCCTCTAATGGTAGCATCCAAATCCTCAACTTCTAAAATATCGAGTGTAATGATCTTTTCAATAATCAATTGGGCAATTCTGTCACCCACTTTCACTTCAAAGTCAACATCCGAATAGTTGAACAAAATCACACCAAGGTGTCCCCTGTAATCTGCATCGATTACTCCAGCTCCCATGTCGATGGAATGCTTCCAAGCCAAACCAGATCTTGGTGCAACACGACCATAGGTTCCTTCAGGTACTATAATGCTTAGATCAGTAGGAATCAATGTTTTTCCTTTAGCAGGCACTTTGGTATCCGTTTCACTTGATAGATCGTAGCCTACGGTAAGAGCAGAGCCTCTAGATGACAAAATAACTTTTTCAGAGAGTATTTTTACTTTCAAGAGCGTGACTGAACCTTGGATAACTTCATGTACTTCGTTTTGACTGAGTTTTGGTACTTTAGGGGATGACTCTTTGATTTCAGGGTTGTTGTTAATCAGATCTACTTGGGCTATCGCGAGAGATCTTGAGAACGGACAAAAAAGAAACGAATGATTCCAACATACTGGTTTAGTTTCCGTACGTCGGCGGCCTTCCATTTTAACCGGCGCTGGAAACGGAAGCCGGTGGTAACGGAGGAGGAGGAGGAGGAGGATGCAGCGGACGAACAACAAGGTCAGGACCATTTGGCGAATGATACCATATTGAGAAAAAGAGATGAAGGATAATTATACTTGCATTTATGATTGTGAAAAACTGTGTTGAGATACAATGCTTCTGCTATTTATATACATCTTCTAAGAACTAACATAAGCTTAACAGATTGCCTAACATATTGCACAACTGATGTTAACAACCTAAACTACCACTAACAACTTCAAGAGGCTGCTAACTAACACACCATGTAAACTAAGTACACGCACACAACAGTATGAGCAGCATGTGCATTGTTGCTGACTCATCATGCTAACATGCCATTACCTTTAACATACAGACTAATAATCAGAAAGAATCCGAGAAGCAACCAATGATAAATTTATAGCCTGATTACCAGTTGTTGTTTATCTAATGTGTGGCTTGCTTTGCAGTAACTTGTTCTTTCAAAAGAGGCAAATAGTAGATCTTAGGAGTTGCTTTGATTTTCCAAAATAGGTAATCTAGTGTGACCACAGGAGAATCTGGTCCTCCGAAGGCGGTGACGGCGGTGGAATGGGAAGCAGTTTCTCCGAAGGCGGCGAAACCTGTTGATGACCTGAGAGTTGGGGAAGAGAAGTGAGTGTTTTAATTTCATAAGGATCCAAAAATTCAGCCACCAACAGAAGTCCACCATTAGTTGGCTATTACAGGTTATAAAGGGCATTACATGTCTCTATTGCTTCTTCCACAGATGAATACTTCATCAAAAATGGTGATTTCACAAATGCCAAAAACAAAAAAAGTTAATGGGAGTTGAAACAAAACATTTTCATATCTTACAGTAACATAACAATGAGTCTTAATGTGGTCCATCCAGAAGCTTGTAACAGTCCCAGTTTTGCCTAAAAGTTGTTGCACAGCTTTCAAGGTAAAAGGACGAATGAAATTATCAACTCTGAGGGAATGGTCGGAGGCCTTTGAGAAGGTGGAACTAAAAAAAATCCTTTTAATGTTAACAAAACAATTGATTGGAAAGATTCCATGCACGTGTTTTTGAGGAGCATATATATGGAATTTTACCAAAGTTCTTTCTTATATTTGGTTGAGAAGCGAGAACTTACCATCTCGTTCCTTGGGCGTGGGCATATCTTCGGTATCTGCGGAGTCTTATAAAGATAAGTTGGATTGAGTTGGTGTAAGATTAGTGGCTTGCTACTCTGGAACTTGTAAATAATCATAGTTGCATTTGTGCCTTTGTTTTAGGCTCATTTTCTCAATAGCTTCTTCATCTGTAAAGAAAAGCAAATATTGTGAGAATTGCCATATTCATGAAAATGTTACAATTACAAATCACTTACCTTGAAGATTTCTTTTCGCAGAAGGAAAGGAAGAATGGCTCTTATTCTCATCAAACGTCCTTTTTTTCTGATGATGAACCATCTCCTACAACAAGAACATGATTTTCCAACTCCTTGATAATAAGTGCTTCATTTTCCACAATGTCTTCTTATATTTGCATGGTTTCAGGCAAATCCTCCTCCATAGAGTCATCACTTGAACTTCTATCCAAATTTAAGGGTACCCCATCTCTTCACTGTCATCTTTATTGTTCATGTCTGCAGTTGTATCATTATTTTCATCTATCTCATCAACAGATGCCATGTTCCTAAGTGGTTGTCCATCATCATCCATTGGTTGTGATTCATCATTATTTGGGACAACATTGCTAGATGAACATGGTTCGACCATCTTCAGTTTAATATCTTGGCTTAGTTTGACATTTTCATCAATTGTATTATCCCGTAGTTCGATCTTTTCATTAATGGACATAGAGTCATTAGAAATAGAATCAGACTTTACTTGAAACCCTGAAACATGGTTAAACTCAGGTACCTGATTGTTCAAAAAAGAAGAATCATGCATGTCATCCCCATTCTCCAACTAAGCCTTGGTATCGTCAGTCTCCACCTCTAACTTTGGACATTCATTTTCCACTTGGGACTTTCCATCTTGACACTCTATTTGGTTATTAGAATTCATATTTTCTTCTAGTTTCGAGCTCCGCAAATGTTCCTCAATCAGTGGTACCTCAGTCACCACTTGTGGCTTTCCATCTTGACACTCTATTTCGGTATTAGAATTCACACTTTCTTATTATTTCGAGCTCTGTAAATGTTCTACAACCAGTGGTACCTCGGTTTCCACATGTTTATCTTCCACCGACATGTCACTTTCATCAACTACACCATCACCTGATGCATCATCACAATCAGTACTATCTTCTTTAAACTTCAACCCACTATCCTTCTCAATCTCACTACCACCATTATCTACTACATTTTTAACTTTCTCATGCGTGTCATCTTCATGATCCTCATTCTCTAGCCGAGTCACAAGATCATCACTCTCCGCCTCAAGCTTTCGATCTTGACTCTCGATTTGCATGTTGGAATTCACATTCTCTTCTTATTTCAAGCTTTGAAAATGTTGTCCAATCAATGGTACCTAAGGTATCATGGTTTCAACTTCAAGGGCCTGAATAACAGGCTCATCTTCCACCAACATGTCTTTTTCTTCAACAACTCCATAGCCTGAACCATTGGATGAATATGGTTCTACCATCTCCGACTTAATGTTATTATTAACTATATCATCCTTTAGAACAATCTCTATAGTAATTGGTATAGGATCAGTAGAAATAGAGTCAGATTTTACTTAAAAACTCGAAATGGGGTTGATTTCATATACCTGATTATTCATAGCATAAGAGCCATACATGTCATCCTCATTCTCTAACTGAGCCTTAGACCCCTCGTTAGCAACTTGGGGCGTTGCATCTTGACCTTCCATTTTCATGTTGGAATTCACATTTTCTTGTAGTTTCGAGATCTGAAAATGTTGTCCAATCAATGGTAACTCGGGTATCATAGTTTCAACTTCAATGGTCTGAATAACAGGCTTGTTTTCCACCAACATGTCCCTTACTTTGACAACTCCATGACCTGAACCATTGGATGAACATGGTTCCACCATTTCCGACTTAATATTATCATCAACTATATTATCCTCTAGTACAGTTGTTTCAGTATTTAGCATAGGACCAGTAGAAACAGAATCAGATTTTACTTGAAATCCTGAAATAGGGCTAATTTCAGATACATGATTGTTCAAAGCAAAAGAGTCACGCATCTCATCCTCGTTCTCTAACTGAACCTTGGGACCCTCATTCTCAACTCAGGGCATTGGATCTTCACACTCCATTTGCATGTTGGAATTCACATTCTCTTCATTTTTCGAGCTCTGCATCAATGGCACTTGTGGTATCATAGTTTTAACTTCAGTAGCCTGAATAACAAGCTCATCTTCCACCAACATGTCCCTTTCTTCATTGACCTGAATAACAGGTGCATCTTCCACCATGCCCATTTCTTCATCAACTCCTTGTCCTAAAACATTGGATGAATATGGTTCCTCCATCTCTGACTTATCATCAATTATATTATCCATTAGTTCAATTTTTTTA